GGGGAACCTCCTGAGGACTTGGCGAATATCCATGGCGAGCTGCAACCCGACCACCTGAGATGTCAATGGTGGCCTCTGCAATCGTCCGACGTCGGGGTTCCGACGGACACTCCACTGTGCCTGAGATTCCCGATAAATGGTCAATAAAACAAACCCGCAGACTGCCACCTTCATAAAAATCACAACTGCCATGATCGGAGACTACGAGGACTAGCAGAGCCTCCCCACCAGCGAGAACTCTATCTTTAACAAGGTCAGACCGCTGGTAGTGTTCGACTGCTGTGAATCTATCCAACAGAATACAAGGACGCAGATTCTATGCTTCCCTTACATTGTTCTGTCCCTATGGTCCCCAGCAACACACCATATTCCGACCAGCGGCATAGAACCTGCACTAGAATCCCTACTCATCCCCCGACGCGTAGGGGAGACCCACGCGTAAGCTCGTCGCCGACTAGGAGGCAGACGCATTTTCGGCCTGCATCTAGTGTGATAAATCCTAATAAGCACGACGGTGACACCACGGGCTAAAGACAGTACCGGAGGCCCACCATATTCCCCAAGAGAGTCGCCGATGAACTCCCTCTCGGCAGACATGAGTCGAGCAGACAAAGGGGTGGGAAGAACTCGCAACGGGTATTTCAGAGGCTTCAACGTCATTTGGGGAAAATACGTCTCGAGATCGACGTGGACGGAGCCATCAGCCTCCCTGAGACAGTAATGGACCTCATACAACGGTAAAACCCGAAACAGTGACTCATCAGGATGCTGTCGACATGAAAATATGGTCTCTAATTCCTTTCTCGGTGTTCCCAATGGATCGATGATTTATCGGTATTTACTTAGTAATGAGCCGATTTGACTGGGAAAACAGGAAGTAGCGCCCGACGTAGCCACTATCGCTTATAGAACAGATCGGACTAGTTGTGGAAGAGTTCGGAACCTTCCCATGTTATCATTTCTCAGTAGTGTGCACTAGAACGAGTAAAAGACTGCAGCTCGCGAATAGTACCCTAGGTGAGAATATTCACATATCATTGTTGCATTCAAGACAAAACCCCCAGTAGAGCAATAAATCCAGATCGAACACACAGTAGCTGCCCTTCAGCAGCCACAGTACAATCACAGCCTCACCCCCTGCTAATCGTCCATCCTGAGCTGCAAACATCTCCAAGACCGACACAGGCTTCCCAGTTCACACTCTTCGAAGGTGCACTACCTTCCGAAGGTTCCCCTGAGGAAACCCAGTCGAGCCCTCCGCTACCTTACACCATCATCACCTGGTGGGAGGTCTGTCCATACTCTCACTGCCTGAGGGGGTAGCTCCGTGTCATTTAGGGTCTCTATGATCATCTGGAACCCCTCTCTCGTATTATGCTTGAATCTCATCATCTGGAGCAATGGCTAACCCCCGAGTAAGCTGCAGATCTCACTGCGGAATACGAAGTGCTATCACGACTATTCACTGCCTCCACAAGACTTCCTGCTATGTACACTAGATGTTGGCCGAGTATGTCCTCTAGGCACACCATGCTGGAAAGAGAAGGGGATAGCTCTCCGGTACAATACCGCTAGACTACATCTGCCCCTGCTGATGCTGGTCATCCAGAGTCCTATCCCACAGCACAGCTCTCGTAGCAGGGAACCTTATACTTTCACTCCTCGTCGCACTAACGGTGCTGATGAGCATAGGTACACTAACAAGAAGCACATTCCACCAAGGTTACAACGCAACGAGGTAAGCTCTGGAGACCCAAGAGAGTGTACTGATCTCAATGCTTTCATAGTGAGAGACATCTCTTGACTATGACCAAGTCAGTAGCACTACCGAGTGCAGCGGCCACCAAGCCAGCGAATGCCGACCTGCCTTCCCAAAACGCTAATTCGCCTTGTTCAGGCAGTGAGGTGCTGCTCGAGCAAACATACTGTCCAACTGGATACAGTAAGCCGCTTCTCATGACTAAGCGGTTTCCAGTGGAAGCAATTTCCTAGGGCGGGGGTCCCGCCGCGGGGCACCTATGCCATAACCCCAAGATATGCCTTAGTACAATAAGTCCCATCGGGCGGGGCACCTATGCCATAACCCCAAGATCTGCCTTAGTGCAATGAATCCCATCGGGCGGGGCACCTATGCCATAACCCCAAGATATGCCGTAGTACAATCAATTCCATCGGGCGGGGCACCTATGCCATAACCCTAAGATATGCTTCAGTACAATCAATTCAATTGGGCGGGGAACCTATGCCATAACCCCCCGAGATTTGCTTAATCCAATATGCGATCGATTTCGTCTGCATAATTCAGTTACACGGGTGATAATTCATCCTGAATGATTCATCCCGTGATAATTCATCGCGAGTGCTGTTAAGACTTCACAGTCGAGTTGCCAGGGTCAACGTCTCTTTCCCACATACCCAGCCACCCACGGATGAACACTCTAGCTTGTAGCAAGAGTGCATCCGGTAGGACACAGGCGGGTACCCAGTTGACTGCTGACATCCGCGACGGATCGTTCAGATAGACTCAGCAAAGAGCAATCACAGCATATACCTCGAGCAGCGCGGCTCCACAAGACCTGTGATACCGAGGCGTGTCAAACTCTCGACTTAAGTCACTGATGTTGTCGTATCGCATTGATGGAAAACTGGGTGAGTAAAGGTCGTTGAAGATTTCCTCTAAGAAGTCACACCATAAACACCAAGACTGGCACGGCTTCTATGTGGTTGTTGCATTAAATCTGTCGCTACCGGGGAAAAGGACCAACAGCCAAGAGTGTGGCAGTCAGAGGCAAACGATAGTGATGTCAGTATTCCCGCCGGGGAAAAGGACCGTACAGTCACAGGGAGGCTGTCGGAGGCAAACGGAGGGATTAGCAAGCCAGCATCAACGTCTGATGATTAAATCTTAACTTTGGAATTCGTGTGCATACGTGCAGCTATATCGATTATAGCTTTTCACGCATGAAGACAGGCACACAGTGTGCGCAAAATGAAGGATAACCGAGGAACTCTGTCGCCAAGATTCACTTCAGTATAATTAACAGCCCAGCCATCTCCTATCTGAACGAGGCGACAATCGATCATAGAACTAGTAAGCGTGTTTTCGTCGCAACTTTAGCACAAGAATAATCGAGAAACGGTCCAGTGGTGTTCTCAATACCACTCTGTCATCCAAAGCAGCTCTCGGTCAGTGAGGAGCTATTGTTCTAAGAGTGAGACAGCCGCTTACTCGGTAATACTCTAGAAAGGTCGATGCCTGTACTTACCGAGCTTCCGTACTCTCCTCGGACTGCCCGGGACGTTTAGGACGTTCGGTTTGCGCGCCACTAAGAATGATCTACTACGGGCCGCAAAACTTTCCAGAAGACCAACTCAGACCGACTTCGTGACCGTACCACCTCTAGTACAAAATACACAGAAATGTACAATCGGCTGTGGCTATCATATCGACAATGGAGGAGGGACATCATCCACTGGACCATGGCGGAGCCGGAGTCCTTATCATGTTGCGCAATGGGGACAGGGCTTGTGTCCTACCAGCTGACCCCCCAGGGATAATCCCGAGCAGGTTCAAGTTACGCGGGTGTAGTACCCTCACATAGTCTTTCGAGATTTCAAGGGGCCGAGAGCATTTGCATAGTGGTAGCACATGGCGACAGAGCTTCGCTCCGCCTCTGAAATGAGTCACAACTGACGTTTTGTGTGAAGCAGCCCTCCGTTAGCCCTAGCGTTACTTGAGTCACGCTGATGAGCAGCAGCAGTAGATGCGCTATTCGAAGAGTATCGCGTTATCCGAGGTGTGGTATCAGTTTGCCTTCAGGGAGCAACCAGTACTGCCTGGTTAGTGCCGTCTCCTTTGGGCATAGCTCGTGATAAGCTCCCGGTTGTCTCTCGCTATTGAGATGGTACTCGGGAGGCAATCAGCGCATAGTTGAAGGACCGTGGAATTCTGAGTCTACTATCAGTGATATTTTCATGGCTATCACCAAACGCATCGAAAAGGAGACGCAGAAGCTCAGGGATGATCCTCGTAATAACGGGCGCGCAGTATAGAGATTTGTGGGTATCTTGAGGTCGAGCATGCCTTTGCTGGTTATCAAAGATATTTCTTATTTCAGCCCCGGGCCTATATGCTGTTCCTGATCCCAAAAACAGTCGATACTTCCATATCGAGCTCGAAGGGCCTGATGGCACCCCCTATGAGAAGGGCTATTACAAGTTGGAGATGTTTTTACCCGAGGGGTATCCCATGGAGCCTCCGAAGGTGGGTGCAATCCGCCTCAGTCGTAGTCGGTTGGTATCTCCCTCTCGAAAGGTCCGTTTCCTAACGAAGATATATCATCCCAATATCGACAAGTTGGGTCGTATATGTTTGGATATCCTCAAGGATAAATGGTCCCCGGCACTTCAAATGAGGACCGTCCTACTCTCCATTCAAGCATTGCTATCCTCCCCTGAGGTAGTGACGTTTACTTCTCATGAGTGTAATATGTCTTTGTTGCAGCCCGATGACCCGCTTGATCCCAGTGTAGCTGAGCATTTCAAGCATAACAGGGCGGAAGCCGACGCTATAGGTAACCTTTCCCGCTCCTATATTTGGTATGTCACTTACGCCGTTTTCCCCTCAGCACGGAGCTGGAATCAGAAGTATGCCCTCCACGAGCCCCCGAAGATGCTCTAGATGCCTTGATCAGTATACCTGACCCATCCTGCTTTGTAGTAGTGATGAGCCACTGCTTGTTTGACGATGGACGACCACCCTGTCTTTCATCTAACTGCTGTTGTGATATTTCTACCGTGGAGTCACCTCGAGTGAGGCCGTTGCCTCTCTATGGTTTCGGTCGCGATTTTTGGTGCTCCCTCCAATACTGCAGTAGGAATAACAGTTTCCCATACATCGTTCCTTTTGAGGATCGTGAGTTGCGTGTATCAATCCTCTGGCGTGGGTAACTTGATTTAGGCTGTTGTTGGGGCGACATCTAGCTTGCGACCATCCCTCAATGGTCATCACTAAGCGCATTGAGAAGGAGACTCAAAAGCTCAAGGAGGATCCTCGTAATATTGAGAGTTGTTCATTGCTAGATGGTGCCTGGTTGCAGCTCCGGGGCTCTCAGCAGTGCCAGATCCGAGTAATCTGAGATACTTCCATATTGAGCTGGAGGGACCACAGGGGACCCCGTATGAGAATGGAATTTACAAGTTGGAGATGTTTTTACCCGAGGGGTATCCCATGGAGCCTCCGAAGGTGGGTGCAATCCGCCTTAGTCGTAGTCGGTTGATGTCTCCCTCTCGAAAGGTCCGTTTCCTAACGAAGATATATCATCCAAATATCGACAAGTTGGGTCGTATATGTTTGGATATCCTCAAGGATAAATGGTCCCCGGCACTTCAAATGAGGACCGTCCTACTCTCCATTCAAGCATTGCTATCTGCCCCTGAGGTAGTATCACAGTTCTCTGCTTATCATCACTCACCGTTATCAGCCTGATGATCCGCTCGATACTGGTGTCGCCGAGCATTTTAAACATAACAGGGCAGAGGCTGACAGCATTGGTGAGAACGGCTCTTTCTGGTCGCTTTAGATTGTTGTTTCAGCTCGGAGCTGGAACCAGATATATGCCATGAACAAGAAACAGTTGTGAAGTGTTGACGTGATCGCGATCATCGTAGTATTACGGATGAGCATCTCTAGTATACTATGCTAGGGATGGTGTAGTGACGCTCACTGTTATGGAGGTATGACAACAGCAGTTTCCTGATAATCGATACCTTTGCTATTAACCTCACGATCAAGTGTCGTGTTCGACCATGTTGGCTGATAGGCGATGGTCAGAAATGCAGGGTGCCGGGATCGAACCTGCGCGGTTTTCCGTATTACATTGTTGCTTCAGCTCCTTCCCCTCCTTTGCTGTGTGCCACATTTCGTTGTTGTTCCCTTGATGGTATCGACAGTAGATCGGGGTCAGCCCAGCAGGGTGCTAGGCTCTCCCTACTGTCTCGACAAAGATTCGGTTAACACAGTCAGCAGCAGCCCAGCGAGCAGCTCAGCAACGAGAAGCTCCTCGCCAAGGTTGGTGTCACCTTCACAGCAGGACCAAGCGGGACTCCAGACAGCCTTGGGTTTCGCGGCATCACAGCTATTCAAGGCTGGATGTTTTGTTGGTGAGTGCGAGTGACATCTTGCGGGATGAGCTCCATTGCGAATTGTGGAACTGCATAGTGGAAATTTAGTGACGACTTTTGTCGCCAGTGTTGGGACATGTGTTTGATTTCCCCTCTACACTATGAAAAATCACGCTCGCTGGGGGTCGAATTATACAAAACCAACAATAATTTCCTTAAATTTTCTCGGATTTTTCATTTTCCCAACAGTAGACCACGTGAATATTTTCTCGCACTAGCTGTCATCCTGTTAGGAGATAAAATCGATGAGTTATTCGACGCATTAATCCCCAATGAGACTCCTACAAATCTCGGCAGAGGCTCGAGTCGGACATCAAAGGAGTCGACGGTAGAGGACGGCGAATGGGTGCTCGTTGAGCGGCCTTCAAGAAACGTGTCGCCGCAGAGCGCTGCTAGTATAAGAGGGAAATGAAGACTCGTTACTGCCACCGTGAATATTGTGGCATGCGAAATGTATATATGTAGTCTCTTTCGAGTATTAGCCTAAACGGTGTAATAGCGCTAGTTCGTGTATTATTCTAATGTCACTGCTGCTACTGATGCTGTTGCTACCATCATCACTTGGATTTGATGTCAATATAATCGATTTACCAGTCGTTTGTTTGGTTGAGTGTAAATCAACTCAACTTAGCCATTTTTGCATCCATCATGATGTAGCTGAGCTTGAGGGCGTCTCAACTCAGTTGGAGTCACCGGACTGCCTGGTCTGGAAATGATGAGAGGGTTACTCCTGTTGCTGTACGGAAGGTCACTGTGTCGAAGGACGGGTTGAGAGTGGAAGTATATGAGCACCCCTCTGCGAGGTCTTTTGCCGCAAGAGAAAGTTCAAGCGAGTGACCATACTAACAGTGTTCATGTCGTGCCAGAAAAGCTCATCCGATTTTTGTTTTGAGTCCGTTATCTTCAATGAACAGGTTGCAAAATGTGTCAGAAGAGACTGGTGTCTTCGCGGAGGCTCGTACTTCCACGAGCCTGAGAGAATACAGTTTTGTGACACCTGTTCGATGTGAATTCGCTAGTCTCGGGTGCAACGAATTGGTGTTGGAATGGCGTCCATCTCTCCTAGGTTTTATCTGGAGGATGTTCGTGATCCTCGTTGTAAACATGAGTACTTATATGTTGATGACTTGGCAAAGTCTATGCAAACTTGTAGAAATTTGGCAGAACAATTTCTCAATAGGTGCCAATCGTTCAGTGACCGCACACTTGTCATATTTCACACTGATAATGCTATTCTCGTGAACCTTGTTGAATTGAGAAGTGTGAGATATGAAGAACACGTGGCTTCTTTCACGCAACCTGATTTATTGAGTATCTGATACTGGATAGAGTTGTTAAGGCTCATGGCACGTTATTGGTCACGTAGTGAAAGTCGTAAATAAGCGGCTTTGGCGCAGTAGGTAGCGCGTAGGTCTCATAATCCTAAGGTCGCGAGTTCGATCCTCGCAGGCCGCACTTATCAATCCCGTATCCTTATCAATCATTGCATTTAAGAGACTGTTGCATCGTCTGCATTCTATATGTTACACAACATTGAAATCATGTTGCAAAGAGTATACGAAAATACACAAGCAGCATAGTATATGAGCTGCAGAATACTGGCATGATTAATGAATCTAATGGGAGGATAAATCTGAATCCTTCCAAGCAGCTGTCCAAAGCCTGCTTAAAATAATATACTGTCGTTTCAACGGATCCGACAACTCCTGCCAAGTACTGTTGAACTCACTCTCATACAAGACATCGGGCCCAGGAGCCGAACCAACAAAGCGATACAGATTCCTCGCAGAACAAAGCATCTGATCTGACGTCGAGGAGGCTCTAGCGAAGGACGAGTCCACAAGGCCTTGACGCACGGAGGGATGGGAGATAACCAATCCAGGAGACTGCCATTCAGATAGAACACGTCGGAACAGAAACAAAGACCGCGGATGAGCTAAACGTAGCTCTATGAGACTACGAAGTCCCAGCGGGCAGAACTGTATACGAAAGGCGAAGAATATCAACTTGGGCATGTAGTTGGGAAGATTCCATAAACCCTCTACCCTCTCTTTAGAGAGAGCATCTATCCCAGTGATCTTCACACCACTGAGATCGAATCGGGTGATCTTCTGGAGGTTACTCTTCCGCAGAAAACGTATGAGAGGTTTTACATCCATAGTTAAAGAGGAGCTCCTTGATGTGACGGTGAGGGACTCCAGTGAAGGGGGGAAGGCTAGTCGGTTCGGTAATGGACTCCGCTCCGCTAACCACAGCGAACGGAGACCTGTGGCCGAGTTTATCAGGTCGACCACGGCTTCCCTCGAGTCAGGACCGCAACACACGTTCACCAGAGTAAGGCTACAAAGCTTCGACGTCGAGGCTTCAGTCAGGCGGTCCATGACGAGGGAAATCTTGACGTCGCTTACCTGAGAATTGTAGCACTCGAGTGTGAGATGCCTCAGCTCAGGCAAGAACTTGTGCGTATCCAATAACGCCGATAGAGCCCGGCGATGACCATCGGCATCCACACCGACACGCAATACTTTTAACGCCTTCACATCTAGTCGACCAACAACTCGCAGCAGCGACTCCCGCACAGTGCCCGAGAGATCCAAAACTGGTAGACGGATCGAGCCACATACAGGATAGAACATCTCACGGAACAGCCGACAAGTCGCAGCTAGACGGCAAATACTCTGTGTATCAAGGAACTCCGCCGGGCCCAAAACTTGCAGTGCACTTCGGATGACCAAACGGGGAACCCTCATAACTCGCTTCGGAGTGGGCATGGTCTCGGCCAGGGTGCTACTGTCAGAGCCTCTGTCGCGCTTCTTGCCATGTAAGGACGACTCATCATCACTCGAACTGTCACCACCAATGTTACCGAGGGAGATGTCGGTCTCTAACGTTTCCAGAGTCACCACACTTTTCACTGCTCGCTTGCCTTGAGCTTTGGCTTTAACCTTCGCCTTGCCTTTGGCCTTCGCCTTGCCCTTGGCCTTCGCCTTGGCTCTCGGCTTAGGCGTATTCGGATTTAGTGCGATAATATCAGCAGCAGCAGCATCAACGTCTTTGATGATGCTCCGATGAAGACGTGGTGTCTTGATGAACTCCTTAGGATTAAGGCGGCGACTATGCATTCGAAATCAATAATAAATTCCCTAAAAAACTGCACCATAATTTCCCCCCAACGCGAAAACACATATTCCACACCGAGGCACCACCACGGTCCTCCCAGCCGACCTGCTTGAACTGCCTCAGTTGATAGCCCGGCTTGGTAATTCATAACCTCTGCAGACCGGCCGGTATAAGCATCGCTCTACTCGTCCTCGCCAGTAGAGGGATCCCGAACGGCGTGGGAGATAAGCTGATGCCAACCCCACCTGCTCCTGGAGCTGAGGACAATGAGGATTCTCCTCAAGTCCCATCGCCGCTATGTGGGGCCAACTCGGTCCGTTGAAACCGTACTCGTGGCCACGGCGAAATAGAGCATCTCTTCCGATAACAACAGCAACGTCATAGCCATGACTTCACCAAAATGATAGATTTTCTTCCAGGGTACCTAAGTGCACACAAATGGCAAGTAGGAGCAACCTCAACCCGAGGGGAAGCCAAACTGACTGTCAAGTTCATATTATCAAATGCTCTGATAAGTTTTCGATGAAGAGGACAAACTCTGTGCCAATCCAGGCAGAGCCATGAGCCGGCTCCGAAGTCGACACCGGGACCGATACTCATCCTCCTCACCGCCAAGGAGCCCTCAGCCTTCCTTATACAACGGTCCGCCCAATCAGTCCTGAAATTCAACAAATCTTCGCTGTGCGCAACAGGCGTATCTTTCACACACTGTTGCAGAGTAGTCATCAGGATTATGGTTACAACCCTCTTCCGGTTCCGGCCCACCAAACACCGCCTTGCCAAATTTGGATACGGGGCTGTGGATGGACCATACGTAGAGAGCAGAACCGGGGAAAAATCATCAAAAAACCGGAAAATTCCGCATGATTTAGAAAAGCACCTCCCAACCCTTCCGAGCCCCGATACCATAATTCTCCCTCATCGTGATCAACGCCGGAGAACGGCCAAACCGTAATATGGTTACTATACTAGCACCACCCCAACTGCTCCGCTTGAAGCACCCACGGACACTCTTCCAAGAAGACTATCCAAGTCAGCTGCCGACTACTGCGAATGCTCGTCGAGGAGTTCCGACTGATGCGACTGGGCCTTGCCACTCGTTCATTATCAACGCTCTTCGAGTCTCGACAGAATCATCTGATGATCTTCATCAGTAACAAGTAGTAAGCGCACGCCCGAAGGCCGTGTTCGGAGCCTTCCCAGGAAGCTCGTGCTATGGTAGTATGGCTAGCTTAGAGGGTATACACACGACGTGGTCATGCGATGATCAAATGTCGTTTATACTTTCGTGTTGAACTATACAGTGACGAGGTCAATGTCATCAGAACGACAGCGCCCATCACAACCATTGACACTAGTAGACTTATAAAAAACAACAGAGGTCTTGGAGAAAGAGCACTCAAGTAGTTGGTTTATATAAGACTATTGCCCTCGAGTCAGCCTCCGCTTGGTTTCCAACAGCGCCTTAGCCGCAGCAGCGTTCTGATCCATACCTGAGCCACAATCCCAATACCACAACTTCCACAACTCATACCTTCCTCCACATATCGTGTGAAGAGCTCCTTCATAACGTCCTTAGCAGCATCTTGCCGGCCCTGGTCGACCAAGGCAGCGGTGTAAGCCCCAATACTATGCATGTGACCCCCATATCCAACTCTGAACCCTATCACACGCTTCCCATCATCTCCCTTAACAATAGAAAACTCCGCTCCGCCATTTCCTCCCGCGCTGATCTCCCGTCCACTCGACGTCCGAATCTTCAAAAAATCGACCCAGCTGCCACAGCGACCGACGACCTCTGTAATAGATTCTCCCTTATCGATCACCAGGGCGTGCGCGGTCGGCTTTCCATGCGGCGACGAGGACATCGCGCATGCCTTACGACAAGTCTCACCAGAGCACCACATGATCTGACGCCAAACGCAACTGCCACACCAAGAGGCTCTCTCCCATCCTACCTCCAACCCATACACAGCGTTGTCGTCGGCCAAGATTTGCACCTCGCTCATCTCCTCTCCTTCCTTAGGCATCAAATCAACGAATACCGTGTCAGCGTGAGTCGGACCATGCTCGAGCAGATTTTCCCCCAACTCTCCACGCTGTTTCCGCCACTCTACCGACCCCGTCTGCCGACCGCTGCTGAGGGCCGTCTTGGAGTCTCGAAACGGATTAACCCCAGTGGCGAACGACTCGTCCTCATCAGAGCCTATCGTGGTGCTCTCGCGTGCGGAACGGTCGTGGTCAAACTTCCGAACAGCCTCGACGACCCCCGGCGAAACTTTCCGAACCCGGTCGAAATAGCATTTTTCCAGAGTGTCGTTGACGGCTACAAGTACCTGAGTGTCAACAAATAAGTCGACAAGAATGAAGGACGCGGACCAACAACAGCGTTTCCAGGTCAAATTTATTTTCTTACCGACAATTTCATCTTCCTACCCATTCAGGGAATGTTGCGTTGAATATTTTACTCATAGATAATCATGAAATTTCGAAAAAATGTTGTACCCGATCTGATCGAAGGTTTGGGAGTTCAAATCAACCAAGGATAGTTAGAGGCTCGATCATTAAAAAAATGAGTGAAAAAATTTTTGACCTAAAATGCTGCATTTTCTCCACTGGCAGAAATTTAGTTCTACAAGGCAGCCCATAATTTCCCAACTTTTATCTACTACCTCCTCCATTCCCTTCACATCCCCAGCATAAGCCTGTCGGCGACTTTGGAATTCTTCCGTGCTGAGGTGACGCGTGTATCGAGGTGTCACATCCCTACAGCCATCCCTAGACGTCGCCCAAACCCACGAAAGGCTCTTTTTCCAACCACTCTCATACCTGCACTACCGCGTCACTGCGCCACAAAATTATTCCAACACACTACATTAGCGGTGCATCTATGACAGCTTCACAAGGGTCGACGTGCACCCAACGCTGCTGTCGATCGACCCACACTTCCGACCAAACGTGATCAGTTGCGTCAATGACATGTCGGACCTGCCCGGGGGACTGCCGATATATGAGCTCCTTCCCAGACTCACCTCAAACCCCACGCTCCTAGCCACTAGACAGAAACAATTGGCCCACTCTCCACAGCGACCACTGCGAGTATGGAGGAGTGCCACTGGATGGTTATAACGTGGATACCTCGTTATAGACCCACACACTGTGCATCGATACACCTCCACCTAAGGGCCTCACAGTCGGGCTAGAGGCGGTCAAGGAGTGGACAAGCTCACTCGGCTGGCCATGCCCTTGGCCTCGTCGGGGGTCGGCGTCGTAGTCCCCTGACTCTCTGTGTTCTTACACCCACAGGCATCACATTCAGGTTTATCCATCCACTTGAAAAAGGACTTCTTAAACCACTGTACGAGCTCCTCAAGAAGGCACTCAGCATAGTAGGGAGAGCCTATACACAGTGCAAGAGAATGTGCTACAGTGTTAATGAAAATAGAAAAAATTGGGAAATTCTTATTGTTTCCTACACACTTCTACTCTATGTCGTGTATAACTAGTGAGAAAACTCCCAAGCTGAGGAAAGCGACCGTCCTGGCAGGGGAAAATCCAACACTGCCTATGCAGAGACTTAACAGTCCTACGACATCCTACTCCCGAAAACCCCTCGTTATCAGCCTAATAATGCTCACACACTGATCCTGCATATTTTCACTATGAGCACTAGCAGATCCTGATTCTGAGTTTCGTCACTGCGTTTCATATTTCACCACAGAACGACGTCTAGAGCCTACCGTCCTCTTCCGCCAAAGCTCGACAACGGCTGACTGCCTTCTTATGAAGCTCCACTACTGGGACCACCGACAAGGCAGCCTGCTGGTTTGAAGGGATTTCATACAACTAACAACCAAGTCCACAACAATAAGGAGGCTCCCCTGCACCACCTGTACGTGCATTGCATTGTTGACGATCTGCTGCCGTACACTGTCCTTCACACCAACACCCCCAGCCTTCGACTCCACCTGGGCCGTGAGGCCAGCCCTGACCTCCTGGGCCCAACCATTGGCTTCACTATCACTACCCACCAACTTAGCAGGGCAGGGGTTTGAGGGACTCAACGAGGATAACACCTACGATGACATGGGGGAAGATGCTACCTACCGCCCCCCCTTGTTTGCTTTCTTCAGCAGAGTTCATAATTTTCCTCACTACTTTATTAAAACCCACACACGTTTCAGCGCATTCGCCAAAATTTCCTCGAAAAACTCCCTATTGTCGCCAACACTTCCCCACACCTACCACAATTTCGACCTCCTTCCCAGCCGCTCCTGCCAGGGATAGTCCCTTCAGACCCTCCTGACAGACTTCCCCCTCAGCCCTCAGCTGTTCGCTGAACATCTTCACAGAATTTTCATCCTCAATTTCAAACAATGATGATACTAACGCCCGTAAAGTTGAGAGATCCACAGTCTCGATTTCAATTTCTTCCGCGTGCGTCGCATAGGATATCTTTGCCCGAACGGCTCCACTAGGCCCCATGGACGCAGTCACAACCGTTGCCTTCTCCTTGGCGATGGCTCTCTCCAGTGCCCCTCGACTTGCTCTCAGCCAAGCATCGTTAACTGGTGGCACCGTATAGCCGGGGTCAGAGCCCACCACCTTTTGCCAGCCACACGCGGTCATCACCGCCTCCCCTTCGGGACTGCCCAGCCCGGCCTGGGAAATCGTCTTATTGTGCAACTTGATCGTACGGAACTTCGTCTCAGAGGGACGACCGAGCACGTTGTTAAGGAGTTTGAGAGCAAGCTCCTTGCCTTGGAGAGAAAGCTTAGAAGTATCAAGAGCAGTGGCTGCGGAGACTCCCGATAGAGCCTTCCACGACTGCAAGCAGTTGACCATCCCACTTGGACCTCCCTGTAGGGCTCGCATAACCTCGGTTCGCCCATCAGCCACACAGGACTAAGCAAAGAAAAAGTCTTTACTATTTCCTCATACCACACCCTGCCCACTTCGCCATCGTAGTTGAGGACTTTCAACGATGGTATCCCCCGAACTCCAAAGTTCTGGCCCAGCCACTGAGCTTGAGAGCGGTCCGAATACGACAAGGCCAACCAGTCGCCGTGTTCCGTACGGAAGTAGTCGAGCATCTCCGCTTCGCTCCTGTCAGAGCTCACGAAGACCACCTGACCAAAGACCACCTCTTCACAGTCATACTGTGCTCATGCTAGCCCCACCTCTATTTTCATTCCGACCGACCTCGCAAGCTGATAGAACTGCTTCAGCATAGGAGTGAACTGACGACACGGCGGACACCAATGGGCCGAGAAGTATAGGCAAACGACGGTTTGGTCGTCAGGGACGGCAGCCCGCTGACCAGATTTGGTCATCAGAGGCAGATTGGCTCTCGATAGGAAACCCGACATCAGAAAAAAAACAACAACAAAGACTGATTCCTCGTCTCTTCTTGGAACTACTCGGCGTCCTCAATAGATCTCTCCTGAGGTTCAGAAGGGACTCCCAGGATTGGATCTAACATGTGGAGCTCCATCTTGGGAGAACTCGTCGAACTCAAAAGAGCAGCTCTATTGAACTCCCTCACCACATTGCACAACAGTAATATTTCTATCACTAGGAGCCAAAGAGTAGGGATGGCTGGCATCCCCGCGTGTGAGAGCAATAATGACTATTATGGGGAGAGTAGTGATGATCGCTGTAAGATTAAATACTCCACAGAATCTGCTAAGTGTCCGGAGTGGTGAAAAAAGTTATCTTCTAGTTCTTAATACGGTGGGCTCGGTCCTTTTGCATGGCCCTGTCGACCTCCCTAGCCCGACGGATGGTACTAGCGTTGGCTAAATCCGCCACTTGCTTGGATGGGTCCTTCTCGACCGAGATGCGGTCATGCTCCCAGCTCGATGACTCGCCTTGACAGGACTCCTTGTCCTCAGCCATCTCCGGGTAAACAGTAGCATGTAGACGAGCGTCGTATCTATATGCTACTGATCTCATACCGTAACAGGCTCAAGTAGATGCCGATGATTGTATGTGGGTGTATACTCCCACAAAGCTCACATGTGCTTCCAATGGTTGACTATGCCTGCCGCATCTTTTTCTTTCAGCACCGCCCTCGGATCGTCTATGAAGTCGTCAAGCTCCAGCGCCAAAGTTCTAATACGGTAAGCGTTCACCATTCTAGGGTCTTCAGCAGGGAACTCACGGTCGAGGCGTTCTGAAAAAACGCCACATAAATTTCGGGAGATCTCAGCGATAGGCTCACTGGCGACGAGTTCATAGTCCTTCCACGAAGCAAACGTCCTACAGAGCGGACCCAGCCTCCTACACAGCACCGCAGACTGCTTGACAAGCATATGTAGTCGGACAAAGAAAAAGACAGCGGAGATAGTGGTGGCGTGTGCGCAATAGCGTTGAGGAAATACAAGTCAATGCAAGAACCCAAGTTACACCAGTGTTGACGTACCAAAACTCGCCTTTCTCATGGATCGGTGCATCTAATTCTAGGTAAGAGTATATGTACATATGTCAGCATGTTCTCCATGTCTGCTACGTCCCTCCATCGGAGTGGAGTTTTTTCCGGGTTTATCGCCCTCCCTCGAATAGTAGCCAATTCAAACCTCGTGGCTGTGATACTCTACATGTAGTTGGCAGTAGCTCTATGGGAAATAGGGGGCTCAAGGCTCATGCGCTCGTTTCTCTGCATTTGGTCTTTCGCATATGGGTCTCTGATGCGAAGCCATCTGCGGCCGTTGAGGAGGAGGAAGTCGTTGGTATCAATGGTGATTTGTTAGGACCCTATTAGGGAGGAATTCGTCGAAGACTTCGTACTGTGAGGAAAACTACTGTTCCTTCCATCTCTGCCGACAGGAACGTCTAAGAGAGGGGTAGCTAACGCTCATTAAGGAGAAGTTAGATCGCTCAAGGGTGGACACGGTTGCTAGTGGCTGTATTCAGTTAGTCTCGGGAGTAGGTGAAGGAGGCTATGATGAGAATCATGCGACAACGGCTACCTTACAATGGGCAAGGGCGAATTATGAAGATCGCGAAGGAGGCTGGGCCAAGGAGGAATGTGCGGCCTGCCCCCGTTTGGGCTTTCTAGGTGGGCTTCTGTTGGTAGGGGGGGTGATGAACGTTGCTGTATGGTTGGTGGAAGAAAGGACAGTGGATTGCTGGAGGAGAGAGGTAGAAGGGAATGATGATGTGGAGTCGGCCGGGTGGTCAGCGAAGGGCGGCGGTAGTGGGCATTGCAATAAGAAGAAGTGGAGTGGAGGAGCATGGAAGTCCGTGAGGGAGCCCACGAGTTGGTTAAGGGCAGTGTGAAGACAGTAAGCCGGTTTCGAATGTCGATGGGAGTACCAACATGATCGATCTGGGGCTTATACGTTGCGACTGTGAGTGCTGCCATCATAGATGCGCCTCTCTTTCGCTTCCACGACCCTCGAAAAGAGGTCTTGTTGGTCGATCACGCCATGCAGGCCTTTTGTCAGCAAACTATTTGAGTGCGAATTTGGTGACATTGCCGAGTAGAGTGTGGCTTGGACCTTCATGTCTCTAATTGAGTTTCTCGACATGTCCCGTTTGGTGTTGGGGACATGAAATGCATCTTCCTCTGAGGTTCTTGCTAGACTTTCGTCTTTGGTCCAGCTGGTGTCATGGATTCATCGACTACCGCAGACTTGCAGGACCAGCACGACCACCTCCCGCCCTTTGTGAATTCCACCATCAAGAACCCCCCTCCCAGCTACTGGCTCTCTGCCGTTACCCCTACTACTTCTGGTGACGACCACCCCGCTACTACCCCTCTCTTCACCGACAAGGACATGGTCGATGGTAGTGTTGATGGCTCGAGACTGGGCAGTAGCAGCACTACAGTGCAGAAGCAGAAAAAGAAGAAGAAACACAAGCGGAAGAGGCGCCGGGACAGGGACGAGGCGGGTCGGTCGCGCTCGCCCAGGAAAATGCACAATAAGAAAAGGCGTGTTCGGGACATCCTGGGGAAGTCGCCTAGGCCCTGTGGTTGGGGACCTCCCACCTCCTCAGCACTCGACGAGAGTAGTGATGTTGAAGACGACCGTGAGGAGATCGCGATGGAGAGCGCTCGAAAGCTATGGTTAGAGGTGTGTAACGAGGAGCCCTCCCCGGCTGCTATAATGCCTGCGATGCAGCTCTTGAGTAATGCTGTTGACGCCACTGTCGTCCCCTCTGGAGGACCTGTGGTTCTGGCTCCATCTGGCATTATGAGGCCGCCCATACAGGGGTGGGTCATGCAGTTGGAGGCAGCAGGTGGAGCTGAAGTCGATGCAGGGCCCGCCCGAGTGGAGGCCGCTATTACCTTGCCGTGTGCGAGCCAAATGAAAGCCCAGTATGGCCGGTATATGAGGGAGGAGCCGCCGCCATTGACACCAGAGGTGCTGTGGGTGACGGCTGATGGGGCAAGCTCGTCGCCCCAGCCGGACATGCCTCGGGCCGGGCCTGTGCGTTGCTCTACGGTGGCTATGGATCTTAGATCGGAGTCTCTTACGGAGGCTCAAATACTCAGAAGTCGCCTGCGAGAAGTAGTGGAACGCAAGAGGGAGTTGGCGTGCAGAGTCAAGGCTCGGACTGAATCCTTCACGGTCGCTCGGCGGTCCATAAATGCTCCGGTGGTGGAGAAAATGAAGGCTTTGGTGAGGGCAAGGCCTCCGCCGATGAACGTATACCCTCATAATGGGGACCTCAAGCCGACTTTTGGAGTCACCACCAGTGACGATCCAGAGGGAGACACGAGCTACCTGGTGTGCTCGATCTGTCTGGAACCGGACCTGGCCCGGGGCAATCAGATGGTCGTCTGCTCTGGGTGTGGGGTGGCTGGTCACCAGTACTGTTACGAGATCAGCAGAATCCTCGACGAGGACTCCTGGCTCTGCCGTTTGTGTTCTGCGCTGGAAAATGGTGACGCCAGCGAGTCTGATGATCTGAGTTGTTTTCTCTGCGGTGGTGATCGGCGATGCCTTGGTGGAGGCCTGATGACGTCGGTGATGCTCCGAGGGAGCATCCGATGGATTCACGTGAGGTGTGGTATGTTCGCATGGAAATGCCGATCGATTCCGGATGTTGAGCGAGCAGCTATGCGCTTCTCTCGGACCGAATCGACTGCCCCTGTTTGTGGCATCTGCGACAAGGCTGTGGGGGAAACTGTGAGATGCGGCTCGACGGGATGCTCCCAACACTTCCACGTCAGCTGTGCAACTCGCAACGCCCTTACTATCCCCGACCCCACGAACCATAACTGGCTCATATACTGCCGCCAGCACATGGCAGATGTCGATGCCTTTGGTATGATCGACAAGCTCACTAAAGCTATCGCTACCTCGCCCTATGCGGAACAGACGGAGGGTGGCTTCGCAGCTGCTATCGCCAACAGTGCAGCAGCTTCAATAGTCAACGAAGGCTATGACCTCTACCGTGGCGTCGACGCGGAAGATCTCTGGCTTGCCTGGATGGACCCTGGTGTGGCAGTAAACGACTCAAAGACCCCCGAATCGGTCGCGGACCGGCCTTCCGTTCTGACGACTCCGGCCACGGCACCACCTACGACCAGCCCGAGTGGGGGCCCATCGACTCAGCCCTGCGTGATGTGTTTGCACAGTGATGGTGATCTCGTGGACATACCAGGAGGCCCTGGTGTCCCTCCAGGTTGCTCGGCCAAAGTCCATCTCCGATGCGCCCACTGGATGGGCCTAGCGCCGGTCTTCAACTTTCATGACCTCCGCCAGGGGTCCGTCATACGGCCCCGTAATTTTCTCCAGTCTTGTTACTATTGCCGCAGCGTTCTTGGTATAACTATGAAATGCTCCAAATGCAACAGAAGTTTTCATCCCCATTGTGCTGCCAAAAATGGTTGTACTGTGCGACTAGAGGACTACGAGTCGGGCATCCACTTGTCTGGAAGATCTGCAGAGTTATGGTTGTCGAGAAGAACCGTCAAGGGAGGATTCTCTGTCTGGGTCGATTGTGATGCACACTAGTAAAATATATAATCCATTTATGTAACCCTCCATCATGTATGTACAAATGGAGTCGTCTCGTACCATTACCGATTACTTTTGTTTCATCGATGCATTGTTCGTTACGTTGTACAGTAATTATATATTCTGTTCAATAACTCAGTAACTCGACAGAGCATGAGGAAAATAGTCTACATTGAATTTCAACAGTGCAAGGCATCATCCACCGAATGCTTTTGGATCGTCAATCACGTTGACCGCTCGGGGAAGTGATATCATCACATCCTCTTCGCTGAAGAAACCGTTGGGGTACCGCCAGGTGATCGGCTCACCAGGAGAAATGTCCCTCACGGCGTTGACGCGCAGACCGCCATCGTGGGGTCTAAGCTGGGCATTCGGACTAGTCGAATGATTCACCAAGTACCAGAGGTCGCCACCACCGATGGGGTCTGCTATGTCGAAGGTCTCCCTGTTGTAGTAGAGAGACATACCGCCACGGCTCTCGTGGATTATCGTCAGGAAGCAGTGCTCGGGATGGTCACGCCGCCGAAGCTTGTCGATGTCAGCATGACTCTCGATAGTGTACTTCGTTACTTTCGAAAAGACAATACACTCCCCGTCCTTGAATGTTCTCGATGCAATGAGGACACGGCCACAGTCTTGGTGATCCACGACCCGGAGGCCCATGGCCTTGAGGAGGCTTGAGTGCTTCGTATCCAGAGGGCTCGCCGGCAGCTCAATGATCGCGGTGCGAGTTCGGCGACTAGGCGATCGCAGCATGGCCAAAGAAGGCCCCTTCTTCTGAGCAGTGACCGCCTTCAAGAGAGCAAAGTCGGAGGCCGCAGGAGAGGAATCATCGCCAGGCTTGAGGATAGCAGCACTGCTGCGACAGGGGGTCAACCACACCGACTTGCATTGGTGGGCAAATTCCAAAGGGCATTCCTTCTGTTGCAGTAACAGACACTTGGCTGAGCTTGGCCACCACGACCCCAGGGGGCCGCGCTCCTCGCGGGTTTCCACCCGCCCATCATCCTGCAAGACGACGAGCGTTACCTGCGACTTGCCAACTCTGTACGGGAGCTCGATGATAGCGAGCGTTGCTGGGCACTTGGCGAAGTTCTTCGAGATGGTCTGATGGGCTTGCAAGCTGAGGGCTGCAGCATCACTATCAGCTGTCGCCTTGACCATTGAGAGACGGTGACGGGCTGTGACACGATCATTCTCTCTGATACGAGCAGTGTGGGAATATATGTTCGGTTTCCTCAACTGAGCTCGTGAGTTTCCTCATAAAACCATGAAAACCCACACACGATTTTGGGTAGAAGTGTACGAATCTGACGATAATTTCCCAAAGTCTCCTCACAATTTCCATATTTCTACCAACACATGTTGTTGACCATGTGCACTATGAATTCCCACACTGGGTACGACACTGACAACACAACAACTCGCCCGTAAATCTATATTCCAGCACAAACGTTAGAAACACTTACGATGGACAATTCGAGCACCATGTTCGGCGTACTCCTTAGGCGTTATCACGAGCGAAGCGAAACCTACACAAAGTACGTCGGGCCACCACGATGGCCCCCAGCCTACTTCCCATGCTTCCCACTATGGAACCACCCAACCACGGGCAGTATCCTCGCTCCCCACCAGAGGCTGCCGTAGGAAATCCAGAGCCTCCCATTACTCGAACCTTAGAGAAGCAACGATACGATGGAGGCAAAAAACGACACCACCTTGCCATCACGCAAGCTCATCGCACAGTCTCTCTGCAGGCGTTCCACCAGCCCAGCCGTCTGAAAAGACACGTCACGCGATAGTTTCGGTGGCCTCCCGCGGCACCTGTGAAGCTTGCCCTGATAATATGACGGACTGAGATACCGCA